TCCTTGTATCCACACTTTAAGTAAATACTCATAGAAACTGCACAAAGTTACATTTTCACAAAACTTAATATATTGAAGATCATAAGAAAACAATTAATACAAAGAATATTATTAAGCACCTGTCCCCCATGGCCCCAAAAGTAATGGTGGAGTATGATGTTGTCCCTTTGTGTGGATTTATATAGATGGGAAGCAATCCATCAGCAGGGAATGTCTTATTCAGCTCACGAATAACATTCTCTACCTGAAGTCAATCATCACCATATGTTGTCAAAAATTCCAATAATATTCTTGTATATATATAATGATAATACATGAAAACAAATACCTTTTGTTGATACTTTGGGTCTCCTGTTCTTTGGCTTAGTGCTATAAACTCCAGCTGCTCTGTGCCTGAATCTGCTAGGATACTGTCACCCTGAGAAAAGAAAAGGAAATGACTAAAATGCCCTCTTGTCTTGTCCTAAATATAATATGCATAACACAGGTCAATGGATGAATGTTGGAACTTACCCCAGTCCAACCAGGGTTATGTGGATTACCATTAACCAAGTTGATAATGTTGTAGGGGATACCAGAAGGAGTATCCCATGCAGGGAGCAACCTATCAGCTATGTCTTTAGCCTTTTCAAGAAAAACATGCTCCCCAGATAGATCATATGCACTCAGGAGCCCACCTACAACTCTGTTGAAAAACAAAGGGTTAGATAGTTCAAAATTCAAACAATTAGGTGCACCTCATCTTACAAAAATAAAGTCAGGAAACTGCCTGAATTCAAGGCAATATTATAAACAAGAACAATATATTAAACCTTACAAAGCAACCTTATGGTTGTTTCAAACACACTCGCATCATAGTTCTTATTGAAATCCAAAGAATTTGTAATCCACCTGTCATACATTATCTTGTTAGACTCAAAACAAGGAGCATATGTTATTGAAAGAGCTTTAAAGAAAAGAGTTACTGAATCTTACTCTTTTGCCCTTTGGAACTCCTCGTCAAGACCCATTATATATAATGTATCAAGAGAGTCAATTAAAGTCGCACCAAGTCCACCAAAGCTATCAACACCATTCTTGGATTGTGGCTAGCCAAAAAAAAAAAGTTTTTTTTTTTTGGAAACTCAAACTAACATAAAAGATAATGGTATATATATATAAAGCCTAGAGATTATTGGATAACACTTGTCTGTCAAAATTAGAAATGATGATGTACCTGAAGTTCATCATGGCCCCATGCATATTTTTCATATGATGTCCAAGCATGAACCATAGCATCTTTTACTTTTTCTCTTCGTTGATTCTCAATGGGATCAATTGGAAGATCATCAAGATTTTTGCTTGTTGTGTTGATCTTCTTAACTATGCTATCATCAGGCTTTAATTCTTCTAGCTGCAAGACGTCAATATAAGCAGTCAATGCATGATTATGTAACTGTAAACCGGAAAGCACTAAAAGGAATTCAAGAAAACAAAAGCCATTTACGAATAATTTGAAGGGTGTATGGATCTTGACAAGAAAATCACAATATGTTACCTGATTTTGCAACTGAAGCAGTTCTTCTTTTAACTTAAAGAGCTCATCCTGCCATTCAGTGGAAGTTTTTATATATTAGCAACAAAGCAAGTAGGTTACAACTAACTAATCCAATAGAATTTAGGTTTAATGCTAATGTCAACGAATTTTGGTAGCATGTTGCATACATCAAGTATCATAATTCCAGAAGTACTGTACATATCAGTGGCACTTAAAGAGTATCTCAGATGCATTGCCTAGTAAAGGGAAATGGGATTCGTGATAATGGAAAATTCCAGCTTTCTTTGCCCATGATTATATCCCAGTGTGTGCCATTACCAAAATTTGCATACCTATCGTCACAACATAGTTGGAAACAAGTTGTGGGCAAAGAGAGATGGAATTTTATATTCAGATGTCATACATGGTACTTTAATGGAGTAGAAGAAAGCACCCGCTTTGATATCAAAGCCAAGGTAGTTCTTTTTTTTGGCAATAGAGAAAATGTATCTCTTCAAATGAGTTGAATTCAAATCACGATGCGTTTTTCTATATAAATAATGATGCGCTGTAACGCTCAGAATGGTGACCCGGGGGGAAGATCTTGACTAGTTTACATTAGAGAAAATTGATGCAGTACTTGTTTCGCTATAAAGAAGTAGATCTGACGACAAATGAACGGAATTCGAAACGAAAAAAAGTAGATAGATACATATATAATTATATATACACCATACCTCGTGTTCTCGGACTAGAGTTTGGCGATCCCACACAAAGAAAGAGACAGAGACGAAAGCCATGAAGAGTAGAGCAAGACGTTTGGGTCGTTTCAAGTAATAGGCCGGATTCACGTACCTCCATGTGTTCGACGATGAGGACGACCTGGTCCTTGCCATTTTTTCTCTCTATCTCTTAACAATGTTCGGATTAGTTAAATAGAACCCTAACCTACAAGTGGTGTGAGAAAAGCAAAACAAATTCCGACTGCATGTTACAGGCAACGGCTGGTTAAAAAGAGAAGTGGGTGGAACAAACGGAAAGATGGATCTGGTTGGCAGCCTCTCCCGAATTCGGATGAATCTGTGTTGTCGCCGGAGGAAACGGAGCAGGGTGGAGATGGAGGAAGAGAAGACGACGACAATGATGACAACGGAACACACCAATTCAATTGACTGATTACCCAATATTTTTTTTATTCTTATTCTTATATATTTACATGTACTTTTACTTTTTCTTATTGTATTTTTATCTAAAGAAAACTGTTAATTTGGTCCTTGTGGTTTGTTGATTTTGTAGTTATAGTACCTGTGATTTTAAAATTGCTAACTTTCATTTTTTTTAAACAGGTTGTGGATTTTGATTCCTGACTCCTCATCCCTCTCTCTATCTCTCTATTTCTCTTTCTTCTTTTCATAGTATACCATTTCTTATATGTGGTATTGGAATGTGGCAAAAATACACCATCATCTTCATATACTAAAATGCCTAAATTATCACCAGATAATTTTCCATTTTGTACTACGTCCGTTTAATTTTGTACATTATTAGACCATAAAGATCCACCATTAACACATTCAAACCCACAAGATGAAGCCTTTTAATCTCCATCGTCTTTGACCATTGTTAATGTATATAAAAATAAATAAATTAGAAAAGGCAAACCTAATACTTTATGAGAAACAAGTATTGTATTTACGATACTAGAACATCACTAAATACTAAACACTGACAATGATTCAACAATCTCAATTTGATTCAGAGCGAGGAACAAGAGTGGTCTCTCAGATATTTTGGTGGTGAAACACAGTGAAGAGTTTGTGTTTTTTCGATATGAACAATGGCATCAACAGTACAAGTTTTTTCGATGCCACTTAACGACAGTAGTGATCAGAGAAAGGAACATAACGACAATTATAATGTTTCAGCAGTACAAGTTTTTTTTTATGTTACTTAACGACAATGGTGATTGGATAAAGGAACAAGACGACAATTATGTTATTTCTTAAACTTTTTTACATTTTATGTTATTTCTTAAACTTTTTTACATTTTCATTAAATCCTTTCAATTTACAAGATTTTAACAAATTGTTTAAAATCTTTTTGTTTTGTTAAGTTTAAAATTGGATTATTAAATAAATATAATTAAACAAATAATTCATATAAAGTAATTAAATTTAATTGTGATATTAATAAAATTAAGATTTTATTAAATAAATATTTTCATTCGTAACATATAAAAATAATTATACACACTTGTTTATAAAAATATTAAGATTATATATATATATATATATATATATATATATATATATATATATATATATATATATATATATATATATATATATATAACGCCTACATTTAAAGAAACATAACAAATAAATTTAAGGAAATAATAAACATTCATGTGGGGATATCTTTCCCACAAACGATCAGATAGAGATTTCATTGATCAAACTGAGATTTTTTTGTCTTCGGTGTGTATATACCAAGCAAAAATTGTTGACATTGGGTATTTTCATTCACCATCGTTTCAACCTCTATAATGACTTTTACAGCTTCGATTGGTGCATAAAGATCATGTACGTCTTTGAATATCATATTATATAAAATAATGCATGTATGTGTTACAAATAATTAAAAAGTGAATTTTAAATATATTTGAAACATTTATCACATTTAAAATATAACAATACAATTAAATAAATACCAAATATATAAAGTCAAAATTAAAACAAATTAAATAAAGTAAATATATATAAATTCAAACTTGACCGACCACATATGAGAAATAAAAGTTAAACTCTACTTATAGAATAGATGAATAATGTAACTACAAATTTAAAATTTATTATTCATAATTTTATATTTGGTTTAAATAATAGAATGAAGTTGGAAAACACTAATTCTATTTTTACACTAAATATAGCATAACTCTACGATAAAACAGGGGTATGAAATGTTATAAGACCTTCAAATCACTCCTACAGAATGCTATCATATATATTCTCCATATCAATGTTCTATATTTTTGAATTATATAGAAGAGATAGATTGCTTGGGTGATCATAGACCTCCCAAATATGAATCCAAATAGATTTTTTAATATTTTGTTTTTTATCCTAACCTAACCCCTCTTACCACATAGACTGCAATTTACCGCACACTATGGTGGTGTGCGGTAAACATACCCCCAATTGAAGAGTGTGGCATGTTTGTCATGAGTCATGGTTTTGTTGCATTTTTTTTTCTTTTTTAAATATTAAATCATATATTTATTAAAAAGTTATAAAATTTATATCAAGATTATAGTTTTTAATTCCTTATAAACAAAATATAATATTATATATTATTTATATATATTTAAAATTAAATAAAAATATGATAAAATATGATATGATATTCATCAATTTTGTAAGACGAATGAAAAAATAACATAACAATACAAACATATGGTAAGGTACATCTACCGGCCTATGTTCTCCCGTAAAATGTGTTTGTGTTTATTTGTTTTATCAATGACCATTTAAAAAAAAACCACACCGACATCTTTTATTAACCAATGTTACGACCGACAATGAAAAAGTAGATCATAATTGTTACCGGAATTAAGGTTTACACTGATGACCATATAAACACCCACGACATTCAAATGCGTTATATAAATTCGTCTTTGATTTTCTCTTTAGTTTTAATAACATGGTGTTGAAAACATTAATAAGTTTGAGTTACTTTGAGTTTGCCCCTCCACGTGGCTCAAAAACACTACTCTAATAAGTACTTTGAGTTTGCCCCTCCATGAACCAAAGAATATATGCAAAAGAAAAAGGATTAAAAAGAATAATCGGTAGCTGCCGACTTAAGTAATATATAATATATAATAAAAAAATTGAATTAGATCTGTAGTTACAGTCTTACAGATATGATGTGAATCTAAGTTAATTCCTTGCCTACAATCCGTGATTCCGTTTCTTCAAAGCGATCTATCTCAGATCTCAATGGGCCCTCCACCTTTCTTTCACCTCAAATTCACATTCTCTCTCATGGCAAATTCGTCTTCCCTACTTTTCAATCTCACTCACCTTGCTTTGCAGTTGCGCATATTAGCAACAGACTCACTCTCCTCACAACTCACACGTAAGTAACCACCAGATCTTGCGCACATTAGCAACAGACTTTTGACTTACGATTATGAATCACGACTGTTTCCTGTAACCACCATTTGTTCAGAATCCATGTTTCCATTCTGCGTTACATTTACAGCGTCAACCTAACGGGTCAACTATAATTCATAATTATAATCTGTATAATAATTATTATTATAATTTATAATTCATAAAATAAAACCCCACCTCATCCTCATGTCGTTGGTTCAAAGAGGGACTCTTTCCCACAGGAGTTGCTGCAACTGCCTTTGACAAATCCCTTAAAGTTCCCTACATATCATCATTCCATCATATTCATAACAATTAACAATTAACAATTAACAACACACGTTCTTCTGTATATCATTAATATATTTGAATTATCCTGTGCAAACCATAACCTAGTTCTTTTTTTTAATAAAGCAATGCAGACGGTTTGTAAGCATTTGAATATAGTCTAGGCAACTTTCCACCCATTTGACTCAGATTTAGGTAAAATGGACAAATGGTATGAGTATGAATATCAGCATATGAACTGAATCAAAAAAGAAAAGAAGCCACCTTATTTGCCCACATCAACCCACATGCATTACAGAGTGTCCTAGGTCCATCAGGTCCTCTGCGCATCAATGGAGTAGATTTCTCATTGATCCCACAATGCCTACACCTGACAATCACATACATATTCACATTCCAAACTCACATAGCATAATAAACAAAGAGTTTCCAAAAGGTTTTGTTTTGTTTTTTTTTTTAGCTGTATATATATTATATGGAAGCTGTCTTACGCGGTTTCTTGATGCTGGGAACCACTACCATCTGAGTGCCAACCACCTTGGTTTGAATCCCAACTTGTAGCTGCAGAATCTTCATGAACACTCTTTGAAGAAGTAAATTGCCCTTTATTCCTTTGCATCCTACAATCAAACAATATCCCATTATAACCACATTTTCTTCAATTCCCAAATAATCACCTATGATTATGATATTACCTGAGTGCCACTTCCTTGCGAACAGTGTAACGAATTTTCTTCTCAAAATTCCGTTCTTTCCTCTTCTCACGGAATCTCATCAGTGATGCCAGTCTCTGTGGAACATTTAACCGTTGTGGAGTACTCCCCAGATCCTGTTAAAAAAGTAAATTAAAAATATAAATTATAATAAAGTAGAAGGTAAACCTGTATCATTGACTCATACATATTACATACCCTGTTACTTTGCAGATAATGGGTTAATGACATGTAAGGCATGCTTGAGGATGTTTCACGCCCACCCAGTAGTAAAAGAACAGCTTGAACCTGATCAACATAACTTCATTTCTTTTATACATAACTCATAACTCATAAGTGAAACAGATTCATATACCTTCTCAGGAGAGACTGAATCAAACACATAAACCTGGCCCTGGAAAGAGAGTGTAAGCTGGTTTGTATCCTCAATGCTGCCACGTGCCATCATTGCATTATGGTTATCTGATGACAGGTTTCCTGGATCAGACCCAATATCATCCTGATCCTCATTCTGAATCATGTTCCCATTACTTAAATCATGTTCTTGCTCTTGTATGTAATGTGTGTGTGGATGGTATGTTGGATTCTTGTTTGGCATCTGCATTGCTGATTCGTTCTCATGAAGCTCGTCCATATCTCCAAACAGTTTTTGTATCCGATTGATTACAGAATTCTGATTAATGAAAGAACATCAATAACTATGCATTCATATCAAATTCAGTATATGATCAATCGTGAAAACACTAGAGATATCAACTGCATGTCTAGTACTTTCCAAATTTCCAATTAAGTTAGATTCCTTCTCACATGTAGCACTAAAATTATCCTACTTCGTGAATCTCATTCTTAAAAAATTAATAAGTCCAATGTGCTTAAGAGTGGCAAACAGATATCGGTCGAGGGGAAGGAAGATTGTCGTAATTTTGGCATTTTGCAAAAGATTATACTTCGATTGCCAACAAAAGAACAAAGTAGCATACAGGAACACTCAAGTAATGTGGACAGTGATACACTTACTCGGCGATCAGGCTAGGCAACTATCCGTTGTGGTTACTTTAATACGAGAAAGGCATTTGCAGGATCCACCAAAAGTCTAGCTTTTTTGTTGGTTTTCCTCGGTTTCAACGGAAGGATTTGAAATGGAGCTACCATGGAATTTCAGGACGAAGAGGATAGAAGGGGTTCGAAGATGAATTTTTTATGAGAGATTTGATTAGGGTTTCTATCGACGCACCTGCGACTGTTTATGATTTCCCCCTTGTTGATGATATTGAAAAATGAATAAACCAAATATAAATCAATGCTTAGTTTTCAACATTATAGTAGTTAATTGACTATTGTTTCTCTATCAATCAATTTATCCGGTGTGAAGGATAATGTTTTAGGTTGTCAAAACTACGAAAATAATAATAATAATAATAAATTACAGGATTCGTCCTCGTCCAAATGTCAAATTTTATTTTTAATCATTACTTTTAAAATTTAACTTTAACTATCTAAACATAAAATGACTAATTTTACATTTATATATTTTTTTATTTGTTTGTTATTAACAATTCAAAAAAAAAAAAAAACAAACAAACAAACAAAAAATAAGCCCACCACCACAAACACTTACCCTCTACCCTAATCTTACCCACATCTTTCAATCCTCATCATTCATCTTCTTAAGTTCATCTTTGGAGCTAGAGAGAGATAGGTTGAAGCTACCACTTCCATCACTTCACCCATCATCAGTTCATCTTCTTTCTCCTTCCCCCTTTCCTTTATCACTTGCATCTGCAACCGCTGAAGACACCTGAAGTTTGAAATGTTTGTTATAATCTCCCTCTCAAATTCTGGTGTCGTCATCACCATAGTCTCCGATGAACTACTGAACGTTACCATTGTCTTAAATGTGACATCCCCATCTGTTACAGTCATTTTAAACGTTTTGTTTTTACTTTGAAATGTTTGTTATTGCGGAGTTGGTCCCAAAATATCATTTACGTGATATAATATAAAAAACATGGCATTTCAGAAGATTTTAGATTTTATATTTTAAAAGTCTGAATTTCATAATGATATAAGAAACATAAGGATAAACGGAGACTTACAATGTCTCAATATACTAAACGGAGATACATCATTATCCAAATATCTTTATTTAATTATCTGTGACTCAAATAAACTGAGTGGATTAGGTTGGGAAACATGATGAGTACATATGGTTTTCAACCCACAATAATATAATTAATATGTTTAATTATCAAACAATTAACCCGATTACCCATCCTCGTTTTCTTCTTTATTCTTCCCTAATGATCTATCATAAGGGTTATCATAGTCATCGTTGCTGGCAATATTGTTACATGGATTTCTCCGCAATACATGTCAATAGGTTTTCTTTTTGTTTTCATTCCTAAGGATCTGTCCTAAAGATTCATCTTAATCATCATTGTTGATAGCATTATTACAAGGATTTGTCCGCAATACGTGTTAGTAGGTTAGAGTACATCAAATGGGCACAAAGTCCATCACTGCTTGCATTCCACGGGACAGTCATCAAATAGTTTGGTGGTCGTCACCTATACTATTTTAGTGACTACATCGTTGCTATGCTAGTATCATTCCTACATCGTTGGCACACTAGTACCATTTCTACATCCTTGGTATGTCAATGTTATTTCTACATCATTAGTATGCTAATACCATTTCTACATCGTTGGTATGCTAATACCATTTCTACATCGTTGGCACACTAGTACCATTTCTATATTGTTGGTATGCTAAAACCATTTCTACATCGATCCTTATACTGGGGCATCTTATCTTTCATCATACTATGGCCTCATCATACCATGACATCTTATATTTTCATCATACTATGACATCTTTTATTACCATTCATTACCCGATATATTATATTCATAAAAATACATATACGGTATAAACCATATAAAATTGTCTTATACTATTTCATTTAACACATAACATCTTTGCATATAAGCATATATAGCATTTAATTATTTAAATACTTCATATCTATATATAAGATGAAAGTAGCTATGCACTCACCTGATAAAAGTGGATGATTAACGATTTCGGTAGAACTTCGCCTTGGTACTTTATCTTTTCTTCTAACGTGACCTAGGTTCACATTACTAAGTCTTAGTCTTACATTCTTGGCGACTAATGATAGTGTGGATTCCTTACTAATACCAATGTCTACATCAAGATCTATAAAGTAAGGAACAAGCAAGTAGGATCATATCGGAGATAGGATCCATTTGGTACATAGAGTATATTGTTTGGAATCTCACTTTAAACATCTCACTAAATTCAGCATAAACATCATCCCCATAAGTAGATCAATCAGTTTAATGACTTTGGAATCACTGATAAATCTTAATTATAGGTTTATAATAATGACTATGACTATAATTGAAAGTTACACTTGAATAAAAGTGTAGCTTAACTTACAAAGCCTTTTGATGAAAACCGGGAATTCTGCGGGTAGAACTTTGATCAGGGAGCTTCTGTTCACCGACTATCTGACACCGCAGGGATTCGCTAAAGTAATCAAAAACTCAGGAGTATCGGGACTAAGGGGTGGAAAGAGCTCCAGAGGATTCGGGTGGAGTTGGGATAAGAATATGGTTGGAACTTGAATGTTTATATAGGCTGAAATGTGGTGTGCGCCGCACGCAGGATAAGGGTGTGTCACGTCTTCTATCGGACAAGGTTAACATGGCAACTTATGGGTAGTGACATATGTTAAGCAACTGGTGGAGTGTAAATGCGCGCCGCGCATGCTGTCTGTGCGCACAGAAATTTTCATTTTATTAGAAAATTCATATCTTCTTCATACGAGCTCCTTGTTTGACAAGGTTTATATACACATGTAGCTATCAACGAGATCTATAATTTTCATTTAGACTTTGTTGGCTAATTTTGACTTTATTTTTAAATTTATACTTTTAACAATGTAACGCATGTTCCAGGTTTTTATTAATTCTCTAAGTTTTAGGGTTTTGTGCTAGAACTCGACGAGTTGGGGAGATCATGTTGGGTTTTGAGCACTATAATACTCCTATGGTGCACATGCAACCCTAAATGCTTTGGATATATGTTTTCTCTAATTATACATGTATTTACAATTTTTCCAAAACATTCTCCCTAGGTAGCATACAATTGAAGCTATACAATATAAACTTAGTTTGGATGCTTACCTATTGAGTAGGGTAGAGTTCTTGACCTTTGAAAGCTTGATCACCCCAAGTGTGATGCCTCTAATGGTTCACAAACACCAAATGCAAGAGGAGGCTTGATAGAATAGGTTACTTAGCACAAAATCAATTTCACTCTCTTAGAATGAATGTGATGGCCGATTTTAGCTCTATGGGTGAGTATTTATAATGTGGCAAATGCTAGGGTTACACTTTGTAAACCCTGATGACCTTTCATATACTTAGGCTCCATGGGTTAACCTCCATGGACTATCTCAATGGTTTAGCCCATCCTAAATAACTATGGATCATTAGCCCACATGATAGGAATGATTGATTTACACAATCAATCCCCACATATTTAATTAGTCTCTTTTGATCACAAAATTAATTCCAAACTAATTCTTGACCAATACAAATTAAATAATATGATTTCTCAATTAATATATTATACTTATAATATATTAATAAATCACAAATAACCTTATTCTCAAAAGTACATCCTATCAAATTACACTGATGAAGGCAACCCAAAAGGATCATGCTACAATTGGTTCAAGTACATCCTAGTTATAGTTATGGGCTTGAACACCAAATCCAACAGTCTCCCACTTGGACAAGTCTAATAACTATAGCTGCCAATGTAACTTCAGGATCCGACTTAGCAATCGTACGCTTTCAAAAGTCGCTATCAATTATGACACAGTCAGTGACGCATACTTTAGATAGGGGATCATATACTCCGTTGTTCTCAAGATATCAGCCGGACAAATACATTGAACAATGTCATACTTATTGTCCAGTAGTTTGTTTCTCGATTTCCGATTCGTCTGACATAGAACATAACTGAACACATCAATTTAGTTCTGACCGTTCCCATCACATAAGTCAAAATAGAATCATCGAGGGGCCTAAGATATCGCTTTTAATCCTCTTAGGATAAAAGGAACAAATAAACTTCAACATTATATACTTGTACTAACTACTCATCAAATCATGCGCAACGATACGTTTTATAACATCAAGTTACTGATGTGTTTTCATGCCATCAATGCACAACCAACTCGTAGTCAACAACTCATATATCTTGGTTTGAAGACTATATGATATTATCGTCTCACAATCACTCGTGATAAATTCCATGAAGTGATTTAGGTGAGCGCGGGTTAACCCAATACTCAAATCTTATTTCAGAAGTACTCGTGAATGGTGTAGCAAATTGTTGCTATGCCTAACACCTTAGACAATCTACTAGCCAACTCATGATAGTCTTCTTTCATACCTACTTCCAACGTATGATCGACTATGGATGGTTTGAATAATTATTATTATTCTGGAAGTCAAAGCATGCAAAGTGAAACAATAGTAAATAATTGACACAAGACAGTAACTTTACTTATAAATAAAACTCATTTTATTCATCATCAAATGTCAATTAGAATTTAGCTATTACAAGTTTCACTTTATCTAATCACTAAAAGTAATATCGTCCGTTAGCCCAATGCCCCTTGCATGTTGGAAGTGATTAACCCTAGTTAGTCCCTTTGTAAGGGGATCTGTTGGGTTGTCTTCTGACGATATCCTCTTCACCACGATGTGTCCTTCTTCTACTTGATGTCTTAAGGCAACTGCCCTTTCATTATCACAGAAAATTTCCATAGGCTCCTTTACGGATGGAATAACTCCAAGGTCTCCGATGAAGTTTTTCAACCATATCGCCTCCTTCGATGCTTCTCTTGCTGCAATGTAATCTGATTCGCACGTTGAATCAACTACAATTTCCTGCTTAGAACTTTTCCATGTCACTGCTCCTCCATTCAGGGTAAACACCCAGCCTGACTGAGAGTGGAAATTATCTTTGTCGGTTTGGAAGTTGGCGTCGCTATACCCTATTACTCTCAAGTCATAACTCCCACCGAGGTTAAGGACCCGGTCCTTAGTCCTTCGTAGGTACTTAAGAATGTTCTTAACCGTAGGCCAACGAGCTTTACCAGCATTCCCTAGATATCTTTTGACCATGCTCAAAGCAAATGCCACATCAGGGCGAGTACAAGTCATAGCGTACATGATCGAGCCAACTGTGGAAGCATATGATATATGACTCATCTCTGCTATCTCAACCTTTGTACTCGGACTGTGAGTCTTACTCAGTTTAGTATTGCCTTGGATAGGCAAGTCATCTTTCTTGGACTCCTCCATGTCGAAATGTTTCAACACCTTGTCGAAGTAGGTGGTTTGACTAAGTCCTATTAGTCTGTTACTTTTGTTTCTCAATATCCTTATCACTAAGATATAGATAGCTTCTCCGAGGTCCTTCATAGGGAAACACTTTCCAAGCTAGGTGTAACATCCTAATTTTCGAGACCAAAAATTTCATTTTAAATAAATACTTCACAACATAGTTTACCAAAACATTACCAAGGTCATGTCATTTTATAAAAATAAAAAAAAACTATAACAACGTGTTCGAAAACCACCTCAACACAAGTAATATAAATCAGAGTACAATCCCATAAACTCAATGCGGAAACCATGTGTGTGTGTGATGCGTTGCTATACCGCCGACTCCTTCCCATTAGACGAAGAGGTACTTGAAACCAAAACTGAAGCTATAAGCACAAAGCTTAGTGAGTTCCCCCATCATACCACATACCATACAATCACATAGCATACATACTG